CACTCACTCACTCACCCACTCACTCACCCACCCACCCACCCACTCACTCACTCACTCACTCACCCACGCACCCACTCACTCATCCACCCACCCACTCACTCACCCACCCACCCACTCACTCATTCACTCACTCACTCCTTTCCAACTGTCCTCCTCCCAACCCCAAACCAAACTCACTGTCAATTCCGACTCATGATCCTCATAGTTTTTGAAAATGGCTTCAATTCCTGGTGTGATAAGATTGTATATTCTCAGCCCCGGACTGGGGGTTCTTTGGCATTTGCACCGGAAAGGAATTTACGAATACTTTTTCTTTGTGCTTAGAAAAGGAGGGTTGCACATCTCAAATACTGTAATCAATGACACTAAATATAGCTGGTGCATTTCCCCCATTTTTAACATTGATCTCATGCCAAGATGGATGGTTTATGTGACTGTGAGGAAGATTAAATCAGTCTCTCACCATTGTCTCCCTATCACCTGTGTCTGCCTAGTCTCAGCAAGTCTTCACTCGTCTCTGGACTTCGTGGCCCTCATCTGTAAAGGGATAGGGTGGACTCAAATAATAAAGATCCCTTCTGGTGTCAGCATCCTTTGATTTTCAATATGCTGTTTCCTTAATTTTAAAAACATCTAGATAAACAAGTCTACGTGGGAAACAAGTTTCCCATACCAGGAACACTCAATAATGTAATGAATTTGAAAGGCATTACTTTTACTGAGTGAAAGGAGCTAGTCTCAAAAGGTTACAGAGGATATGATTCCATTTATGATTTTTCTAGAGGGGAGGGATTAGGGATTTTTAGGAGTCATTAAAAACTTGTCAAATGTTTGATGTTGTGGTTGAGAACACACAGCAAAACATACACCAGTTCGTCCGCTTCGATGTGCGCCGAGTGGCGGGAGTGCACGATTTGCTGTTCTCCTTGTCCTTCTCTGAGTCGGCCCTCCCCCATTGACAGCAAGTCCCTGCCCCTGCAGGTTCCCATGGAGTCGTTCAAGTTGCTGTTGTCCGTTTGATCCCATATACAAAGTTCTTAAAAGAGCATAATGCTCAAAGCAGTCATTGTTTACGTGTTTGACATTCTCGAAATGGCGAAACTCTAGTGAGAGAGAACAAATCAGTAGTTACCAGGGATCAGGAGGAGGGTAGGCATGACCATTACAAGGCTTTTTAAGGTGATGGAAGTGTTCTGTATCATGATTCCGATGTAAGAGGGAACACGAACCTACAACACGAGGAAATCAAACCCATCGTCATTGAGTTGATTCCGTCGTGTAATGACAACATCACGTATTACAGAGGAGAGCTGCTTCATGGGATTTTCTTGGCTGCACTCTTTAAGGAAGCAGTTTGCCAGGAGTTTCTGCTGGAGTAACTGGGTAGGTTTGAACTACCAATGTTTTGGTTAATCATTAAGTACAAAGTGTGCTACTCAGAATCTCCAGTGAATTAAACTGAGTTCAAATTCATGGAATAAAAAAGTGAGTTTTTTTTAACATTTTATTAGGGGCTCATACAACTGTTATCGCAATCCATACACACATCAATTGTGTAAAGTGCATTTGTACATCGTTTCTCAA